CTGCCAGGGCTGAAGAACATTATTTAGGGCTTTGTTTTGGGGGGCTTGTTTTTTTTTTTTTTTTTTTTTTATCTGCAAGTTTTGGTTCCTTTCTCACTCCCCTTCTCTGAAACTCGAAGGTGCACCAGAGATGAGCTACTATTTAGTGCTCTCAAAGGAAACAATCCAGACTGCTCAGACTTTATTGTTGCCATCCAACAGGTACTGACTGAACAGAGCACTTACAGCAAAGGCGGAGCGGGCTGAGCTGGAGCCGCGATATTTGCGCCATTACAAAACCCCCGCTTCCCACTGCCAACACACTAATACAACATTCAATTAAGACATGCTAAAAAGACATAAACAGCGAAATATCACCTCGGTGATAAAAAACATGCGATCTTGAAGAAAAAAATAAAAAACAAAACAGCTTTAAGACAACTTCTGTACGAGAATAAGGTAACTTAAGCGAAAAAAAAGCATAATTTAAGATTACAGAATTAAAGACAACACACGCGTCCCTAAGAGTTTTCACTGGATAACGAAAAGTGCGGTGACTCAACCCTTTATGAGGAATGTGGGCGGCTCTGAAAAGAGCCTTTGTTTGGAGCAGAGCCTGAGGAAGCGTCTACTTGGCTTTGGCCTTGTGGCTGTCGGTCTTCTTGGGCAGCAGCAAGGACATCCAGCTGGCCCGCCGCATCCGCGGCGAGCGCGCCTGAGCCCCTGCTGCAGCCCGCACACACCCAAAGGCTCTTTTAAGAGCCACCACAGCGTCACATCAAAAAGAGCTGCAGCGCTGCTTGAAATTTTCGTTTAAATTTACCCCTGATGCTTCGCAAAACCGCGAAGTGAAAAGTGCTTTTAAAACACTCAGTAGGGGTAGTGTGTGAAGTAGAACTTGGGAGGAGGGTGATCAGAGAGCCTTGGCAGGGTGGAGGGGTTTTTCACATCCCTGTGGCTGATGGATGTGACACAGCTTTGAGGAGAGAAGGGGGTGGAGGGGCCTCACAGGGACCCTCCTGTGCCTGGGGTCGAGCCGTGCTCAGGAAATTGCACCTGAAACCCCGCCCGGCGCGTTCCAGGCAAGGGCAGGAGCTCCCCGCGTTACCGTGCTCTGTTCCTGTGCTGTGCTGCTGTCCCTCGTTACCGCCACAGCCAACAAAGAGATCCCTTGAGGGGGCTGCCACCCTGCTCCAACAATTCTTAACTCCCGGAACGAGAACAACCATCGCAATAGATCAGCTTTGATGTATATTGTTATACCTGGTATTAAAGCAATGGGCAGCCACGCTGATGGCAGAGGGTGCCTGAGGCTTCTTGCAGCACTGAAAAGGCCAAGAAACTGATTGAAAAGTACTGGGGATTAAGGGATAATCTACCAAAATTTTCCAGGTTTGTTACTATAATAATACAAAACTGGGTGGGCGGAGAAAGTTGTCAGGTTTAGTTTGTTTTGGGGTTTTTTGTGGGTTTTTTGTGGGGTTTATTTTTGGCTTTTTTTGTGTTTTTTTGGTATTGGGGTTTTTTTCATTTTTTATGTGGAGGGGGTATTCTCAAAAAGTTTTTCTAAAAATCATGGATTTAAAATGTATGTATTCTTGCACTAATGAGAGTAAATGTCTTTTAACTTGCATTTCTCCTGCAGTGATCACCATATATGCTGAGTTGTCATTCCTGCAGCCAGTTCTTCAGCATTCTTCATGAATTTCTGGAAGGACAGATATACACACCTGCACTTTTCAGCCCGCCTTTGTTCAAATTCTTACCATGAGGCAAGGTCAGTGTAACAAGGGTCTGAGGACCAAAAGGAGGAGTTAAGAAATAAACCTCAGATTCATTCGTGGCTGATGTTTCTCTGGCTGGCCCGCAGCATCCTCGGAGAGCGCTCCTGAGTTCCGTGCCGCAGCCCTTCCCGGCCAGGCTCCCGAGGCAACCCACACAGACCCAAAGGCTCTGTAAGAGCCACTACATGCACAATACAAGAGCTGTAGCGCTGTCGCAAAACGTGTACGGGTCACTGATCTGGGGGAGAGGAGACTGCAGAGGTGCAGATATGGCATGGCAATGTGCCTCATTGAGGCCCATCTCCATCGACAGAACTGTAATCCAGTCCCCATGGCGGTGTTGGAGGCACTACACACACCCTAATTTAAGCTGTGGAGCTGCTTGGAAACATATTTCCCTTATTTGATAGGAGGGAATACCAGGTTTGTATATTAGCGGTGAAATAGGAGTTTACATCCCTGTGACTGGTGTTTTAGGGATTTGTTTGTTCCAGCGTCTCTCTTGAAACAGAGGCCACTGCAGCTGTGTTATATTGACAACATAATCTATAAAACATTACAGCAACTCCCACTGGTGAAGCAGCCTCCATTACTGGAACTCACTATAGTTCATCACCCACTGCACAAGAATTATTTACCTTGTTCCCCATTCCCCATGAAACCACACTTAAACCAGCGTTGCAGCTCTTTTTGATGGTCATGTAGTGGCTCTTAAAAGAGCCTTTGGGTGTGTGCGGGCTGCAGCAGGGGCTCAGGCGCGCTCGCCGCGGATGCGGCGGGCCAGCTGGATGTCCTTGGGCATGATGGTGACGCGCTTGGCGTGGATGGCGCAGAGGTTGGTGTCCTCGAAGAGCCCCACCAGGTAGGCCTCGCTGGCCTCCTGCAGCGCCATGACGGCCGAGCTCTGGAAGCGCAGGTCGGTCTTGAAGTCCTGCGCGATCTCGCGCACCAGGCGCTGGAAGGGCAGCTTGCGGATCAGCAG